CAAAATCAAACAAAGCAAACAAAAACAAATAGATGAACACGCATACATATATATACACACATATACTGCGTGAGAAAGAGAGAGAGAGATGCTTACATCGAGCTCGAGTAAGATCCATTCCTTGGTGTTGGTACCGGTGGACCAATGAGTACGGAGGTCGGTGTCGAGGACGTGAGTGGCCTTCTGTGACAGCGACTCTCTCGACATTCCCTTCACTTTGAAAGCCAACGGTTTAACTCGCGGCTCCAATTCTACCTCCATTTCTTACCTTCTGACTCTGTTTAGGGCTATGTCTTCTGTGAACTGTTTTTTAAGCTCTCACTCTCTTGTTCCTCTGGTTTTTTTCCGTTAGGGTTGAATAGAGAGAGAGAGAGTTCTGTTGAGGTGAAACGCCGAGTTATTTCTGAGTAAGTAAAGATTTAGTGTTGAGCATTTGGGTTGAGCGGACATGCTTCTTAAGCTTCGAAGTAGAACTCCCTTGTTGGGCCATTTAGGGCTTGTTTAGTTTAAGAAAACATTGTGCGTAACATTATTTTGAATTTGTTTTATAATAATGTATGTAAGTATTATTTAATTAATAAAAATATATAAATTTATACTAAACAAATATAATGCAGGGTCAATATGTGGCATATATATAAAGATAAATAATAATAAATAACCTAACATTTAAATAATTAAATTTTATTCATAAAACATATTTAAAAAGGATAAAAAATGTAATCAAAAATAATATTTATTTATCTAGATATTCATTGTCATATATTATAAATGTAATTATATTTAATATTATAATATTATTTTATTTTAACAACTATTAGAGCATAAAATAAGCAGGAATAATTTTTTTTTTTTGGAACCTAGTTTTTTTGTCACGGCAAACTCTAGTTAGATTTAAATATTATACATTTCTAGTTATTAAAAGAATTTAAATAATTTTTGTCCGTATTTATAAACTATAAAAAAATATATCTATGTTGTATAAGAGGTATGAACTAAAAAATCAATTGGTCA